ACAGACAAAAATGCATCCACAAAAGCCCCACAGCAAACTTCGAGAAACCAGTTCCTGGTTTCGAAGGAGAGGGGAGCAAAAGGGTCACAGGTTTGGGATGGCCTGGCAAGAATGTGAACTAGGGATTTTTCGGTTGCTTCAGGAGCTAACAAAAGTTCCTATTACCTGCTTGGGTTCTGCAAAACACATATACCGAACAATATTAAGCACCTTGGTATATCTGCTATTGTTCTGCTTTCCACCTAACTCACATGTAATGTGTGTTACTGTTGTTTTTCTGGTGCTTCCTCAAATCCTATTAAGAAATCATACAACATTCTTTTCCTTATCCAATATTCCTGGAAGTTCAAAACTGAGCCGGATTTCCCTCTCCATATTGAAAGGAGGCACCCTTTCAATACCTGTTCTGGTATAGCACTTCTCCAAAACAGGTAAATCTTGAGTAAAGGCAATGACAAGAGGTTACTTCTGAGAAAATCCCCTTTGCCTTCAGCCACCCTCCCTAGAAGCACATACCAACAGAACATTTGGACACACTACCTTTTACTGGACACATTACCTTTTACTGTACAGATGCTGCTATACTGCTTCATAGACCACAGCTGGTAAGATGCCAATGCCCAGAAGTGCAGAGCTGTCTGGCTTCAACCCAGCCTCCACTGAGAAGCTCCACATCCTCCTGGAAGCACACACGTCAACACCACATAGAACAGGACTTCCCAGGTTCTCTAGTGGAACTTCTCAGGCAGCATCAAAAATGACACTGTAGACACTTAGCTCTAACTAGCAAAGGAGGAAAAAAACCCTAATAGTTCTCACTTCAGGTCAATGACTGATGTTTGAAAAAGATGTGGATAATTACCTTTCTCATTTCCTGCTGTAACTGAGCCTGGAAATGGCTCTTAAGGCGGGCAGCCTCTTCCTGAAGTTCTTGCAGCCGGGGGTCTGGCTGATTCTTCTCATCTCGAATGACCTGCAGTTCACTTTTCAGCTCCTCCACCTCACGGGTCAGCTGCTTGGTCTGCAGTTCAAATCCTTCCATCTGTTCAGCTGCATATGCTCGTCCTGCCAGGGCTTCTCGGGTCTCTTCTAACCTAAGCTCCAAGTCCTGGCGCTGGGTCCTCTCCTCCTGCAGCAGCTTCTGGAGCTCACGCAGCATCAAGGCATGGTCACTCTGCTCTTGGGCCCGATCATGCTGCTGTGTGATAAGCCGGGCTTTGGTTTCTGCTATTTGCTCCTGCAGCCCCTTCAATTCTCCCTCCAGGCGGGCCCTCTCCTCCTCCGCCTTGTTACTGGCATCCTCTAAGTCCTGTTTCATCTTCTTCTTGTCAGCCACGTAAGAAGCCTCCATGCGGGACTTCTCCTGAGTGACTGTGGCCAAAGAACTAGTCAAAGTAGCCAACTGAGTCTTCAGTTGGTGCAGTCTTTTGTCCACCTCCCCAACTGCAAATGGCCCATCCCCACTGCTACTGCTAACGCCACTTTCGGACCCACTGGCCTCTTCGGACTTTGGAGGTGGTGGTCCCCGGGCCGGTCTGTCATCTTCTACCCCAAACTCACCCTTGGTGCTGGTAAGACTGGCCGCAGTATCCAAGCTAGTGGCGGTCCCAGTGCTATCCTCGCTGTGAGTGGAGCACCGGTCATCCACAGAGTCAGGAAATGTGAGGCCTGGAAGCTGGACACCTACGAGGCCCACATCTGCCTCGTGGGATACCGACAGCACCTTGATGCTGGCCTCTAGCGCCTCTTTCTCCTTCAGTAGGCTTTTATAGGCACGGACCACATCCTTGAGCCGTGCCTGATACTGGAGAAGCTGCTTCTTCTGCGTCTCTATAGTCTCCAGCAAGTCTTTCTTGCTCGGGCCGCCTCCGAAATTCATCCCAAACTTCTCCATGGAGGTTCTGAACGGATTGCCCCACGTCAGCTTTCCGGCAGAACGGGAGAGGGCCGCGAAGACGCAGGGGGGGGGCTTAAAGAAACAGCTAGCGGGCTCTCCGGCGGCGGGCCGCACACCTACTCCACCCAGTTATCCCGGACCTAATGCGGATCGGCGGGAAGGACTGGAGAAAGCGGCCGCCGGGTCCCAGGCCCAGAGGGCTGGGGCGGATTCTATCCCGGAGGCGGAGCGACACTGGCACCAGAGGCGCGCGCACTGCCAGGGCTCGTCAGCGCTGGCCGAAAAGCCGCTCCGCACTCTCCGCTCGTCTGGGTCACAACAGCCCGGGCCGGCCCCCTCGGCCCACGTCGGCCAGAGGCTTACGCTGACCCATCACGACTTCCTAACTACATCTGCCGACAACGGCGCTTCCGTGTCCGCTGGAAGTGACGTCAGCGATGCGCCGCAGGCTCCGCCCCCAGTGGGCGCGAGGTAGGCGGGGCCACATCGGCCCGCTGAGAATGTGCAGTGGGGCCGCGAGCGGCAAACAACAGGTTTGGGAAGGGTGAAGCCAGCAAAGTCGAAGACACCAGAGTGGTACTGGTTTTGTGAGGGCGCCCAAGCTTGACCTCGGGCTACGATCAGCGAGCGACAGAGGGCAACGTCGCACTGCATTCTTAACAAACACCCAGGTGAACCACACATCCAACGATTTGGGAGCTCAGGACCCATATCCCTAAAAGGCAACAATTAAGACTCCCATTTAGACCACGAAAACTGCACTCCTCTCTAGCACAGTGCTTGGTACCTAGTAGGCATACAGCGTAATAGTACCCTTCCTTAGTTCTGCCGAGTTGATTCAACAAATATTTATGGAGGGCACTCTATAGCCATGTCTATCCTGAGTGCCAGCTATATACCAGGAGCTCACAAGAGTTTTGCTATTTAGTCTTTACAATAATTCTTGTAAGCACTATACTCATTAGCAATATTTTACAGATATGAAAACATGAGGCAGAAAGGTTATACGTAACATGCCCAAGGTCACACAGCTAGTAAGTTTAGGAGTTCTATCCTAATCAGTCTGATTCTCAACATATCACGTGCTGTGCTAGATGGTAACACCATTAAGAGACACAACCTTGCCCTCAGGGAGCTCACAATCTAGTGAGGAACCAGATATACAAATATGTCCTGCTATCACACCAGTATGTCTGAGTATATTCAAAGTGGCATGAAAGTTAAGAGGAAAGAGGCCTGTCTAGGTGAGGCATAGAAGGCTCTTAGGAATAATACTTCGGGATTTTAAGAATGAGTCCTGATTGTCCACCTAACCAGAGATCAGGGAAACTAGCATTCCAGGTAGGTGCAAAAAATGCAAAGACCTGTAGGGTATCAGAGTTTGACTCACCCAGAAAGCATTCAGTAGCTTAGGGTATGTGAAGGAGATGACAACAGAGGGGCTGGCACAATAGGTAGGGGCTCAACTTACAGCATTTAAATTTTATCTTGGGTTATAGTAAGGCCCTAAATGGATTTTAATCTGAACAGTGGGATGTCATCAAGACTTGTATGACATGTTGGAGGGAACAAGGGGCAAGGAGACCTCTGAGGAGACTCAGTCATGGGGGAAGAGAAGGTAGTGACAACAGAGATGGAAACAAAGAGGCTGATAAAAGAGCTAAATGTAGAATTGATCTAACTTGGTGAACACTAGTTCTGTTATTATATTGGAACTCTCTAAAATGTACTCTTCAGCCTCATAAAAGCCTTCTTAGTGATGCAAATCTATGACTGAAGGAAAAAGGAAAGTCATGCACTCACTCCTATCTGTTTCCCGAAGTCTGTCCTTGGTATAGACTTTGCAGGTCAGGATGGGGCAGGACCTGGAGGTCTGTTCAGACCCCGTTTCTCAGTGGCCCAAATAACATCAAGCTGTATTATACATAACACTCAGTCACATTATCTCATCATTTTAATATTCACCATAACCCCTTAAGTTAGAACAAGTCTCCTTTTATAGATGACGAAATAACAGAAGAGTTATGAGGAGTGTTGAAGCCAAATCCTCAGGAAATGGCAGAATTAAGATTTGAACTAAAGCCTGAAACCACGTGCTGGCATGTGGTGGGTGCACAGTAAATATCTGCTGAAAAAGCAAATGAATGAGTGAAGGGTTTTTTATTCCCAGCTCAGTTTACCTCGAGTCCATAAACAATTGATCCTAGAAGCCCACTGGGAACCCAGAGTAGGCATAACACCTGCCCTTGCTCCATTGGGAATCTATCAGTCCAGTTCAACTGAACAAGCATTTGTTAGGCCTATATTAAATGCATGGCATTGAGCCAGTCTCCACCGCAGAAGAATTTCATTCCTATTTTGCTATTCTCCTCTCAGATGCTAAAATGAGGCAGGGAAATGACATGTGAAGCTCTTTGGGTCTAGGGAGTCAAGATCCTCACAAAATCCTGAATGGGTGTGCAAGAATAAGCCAGGTCCACCAGTCTGTGGCAAAATGAGGCCCTTCAGCAAAGCGGCCAGCGCCTGGACTGAGAGGCGGGGCCCGCAGGGCGATCTAAGCGAAGGTGGACTTCAACAGCCCAGGAGTGGGTCTGCGACCACGCCGCCCAAGGCCGGGAATCTTACACTGGTTCCGCTGATTGGGAATTACGAAGTAGGCGTTTTGAGGAACCATGGAAGCTAGCTAGCACTTGGGCACCTACCCCTACCTCCGGCGCACTCTTCAAACGACCACCTCCTACGCGCAAGATCCTCAGTGGAAGATGAGGCGGTAAAGGGAGGACCAAGACCCCTAAGCGCATCTTCCGCTCCCCAAAGGAGAGTGGTGCGCACGTTCAGTGCTACTGGTTCCCAAGAGCTAAAACCGGAGCCCTAGCGGCCGGCCACTGAAAATGGGGGCAGAGGCCGATGCGGAGCGATGAAGCCTTTCCTCAGCCGCGCTCGGGCTGCGGTTTGGCGGCCATAGGCCTGACAGGTACGTTGGAGACCCAGACCCGTTCCCAAATAAGGGCGGCGCGGGACCCAGGCCAGAGGCGGCTACTCGCCGAGCTTCGGCTTCCCTAGGAGCCAGGCCCGGGGTGGGGCGGGGCCCAGAGCCGGGGGCGGGGCCCGGGTGGGGGCGGGCCCGCTGTGACGTCGGGAGGGCAGCGACGCGCGGAGGCGGTGGCGGAGCCTCCTCCTGCTGCTGCTGCGCCCCATCCCCCCGCGGCCGGCCAGTTCCAGCCCGCACCCCGCGTCGGTGCCCGCGCCCCCTCCCCGGGCCCCGCCATGGGCCTCACCGTGTCCGCGCTCTTTTCGCGGATCTTCGGGAAGAAGCAGATGCGGATTCTCATGGGTGAGGCAGATCGAGCGCGCGGCCCGGACCGGGGCGCCGGCCCCGGCGCAGCCCTTCCGCCCCCGCGTCCCTCCAGCCCCGCTCACCTGGGTCTCTGGCCCCGAGTCACCCACCTCCTAACGCCCCGGGGCCTCAGCTCTCGGGCGGGTCCCGGTCTGCAGCGCCGACCCCGGGGCCTGACACCCGGAGCTGCGGGCCTGGGTGGGGTGAAGCTCCCTCCGCCCCTGCCCGGCTGATAAGAAGGAAGGATTCCGCCCTTGTAGACGACTTTTAAAAGGAGCGCGGCCTACCCCCCGTGCCCCTTGCATCCCAGCCCTTTCCCGCGCCGCGCCCTCTTTGGAGTTGGCTCACGCCACCCAACTGCCCTCCAGGCCCCGAAGGTAGATAACGACGCGCACCTGGAGGCGCTCCCGCTCTCCGCCCCCGTCACCATCAGCTGTTGTGGCCTCTTCATTTTCCCTGGTCTCTAGGGGGCTCCCTCGCTCCCATCTCCATCCCTGTACCCCTCTCCGTTGCAGTTGGCTTGGATGCGGCTGGCAAGACCACAATCCTGTACAAACTGAAGTTGGGGGAGATTGTCACCACCATCCCAACCATAGGTGAGCCCGGGGACGAAGCAGGGAGCGGGAGCGCCGCGGCGGTCCCTCTCGGGGTCTGCTCCCAGTTCTGCCACTTTTCTGGAGCTGACCCTGACACCAGATACAGCTATTTGAGAAGTGGGTCAGGGTATCTCTACGTGGATACCGGAGGCGGGGTGGATGTGACCTAGCCCCGCCCTGTTGACCGGCAGTTCTGGGGTTCTGTTCCCCTGGGCCTTGATCATTGCCTTCTGGTTTTGTGTCCCTGCTGAGATCTAAGTAGTTTCAGTGAGTTCCCTCCTTTCAGGAGTTTTTCTCATATTTTTTTTTCCCAATTATCTGCAGGCTTCAATGTAGAAACAGTGGAATATAAGAACATCTGTTTCACAGTCTGGGACGTGGGAGGCCAGGACAAGATTCGGCCTCTGTGGCGGCACTACTTCCAGAACACTCAGGTGGCGTGTTGGGAGGGGACTCTAACCCCACGGGAAAAGGTGTTAGGGCTGGGAGAACAGAATTGTTGGCCTGGGCTGGGCCCCCAGGCCAAGGAGAAAACCCTTCCCCGCTTGTCCCCCCTCTGTTTGGCTACCCTCTACTCACTCTTCAGAACTCACCTTAGTCTTCACCAGCTTGAACTTCTCTTTAGAAGCAGGATTCTGGGGCCAGGCTGCCTGATTTAGCCCTCATCACATGTCTTTATTTCATTGCACTTCTTTAGATAAACTACTACTTCTTTGCGGTGGGGTCTCTAGTTTGTGCTGGGACTTCTGTAGAGCTTCTATGGAGTTCTGTAAACTTCTGTAGCGTTTACTAGATGAGAAGGATTGACACAATTACAGACGGCAAGAGAAGAGAAAGGGCCACACTACAGTATGTCCCAGGCAGGAGTGATTGCTTCTCCTTTCTTCCTTCTTGCCCAGGGCCTCATCTTTGTGGTGGACAGTAATGACCGGGAGCGGGTCCAAGAATCTGCTGATGAACTCCAGAAGATGGTAAGTACCCAGAGCCCTGGGAACTGAACCCTCAGGTTGGGGACAGAGTGATCTCTCTAGTGCTATAGAAGTCAGGGAGCCCCCAACAAGCATTGAAGACCAGAAATACAAGTTTTTCTTTATGGACAGATACATTGTGTATCTCACCGTTTTGGATGGGACTGACTTTCTGTGCATTCTCGTGTCTTTTTTTTTTTTTTTTTTTTTTTTTTTTGAGATGGTGTTTTGCTCTTGTTGCCCAGGCTGGAGTGCAAAGGCACAATCTCGGCTCAACCTCTGCCTCCCGGGTTCAAGCAATTCTCCTGCCTCAGCCTCCCGAGTAGCTGGGATTATGGGCGCCTTCTGCCATGCCCAGCTAATTTTTGTATTTTTAGCAGAGATAGGGTTTCACCATGTTGGCCGGGCTGGTCTCGAACTCCCGACCTCAGGTGATCCACCTGCCCCAGCCTCCCAAAGTGCTGGGATTACAGGCATGAGCCACCGCGCCCAGCTGCATTCTCATGTCTTTACATCTGAGTCTGAGAAGTTGCGGGGGAAATGGGACTTATATGTGGTAAAGAGAAACATTTTACATTCTTGCCTTTTCCATTTGGAAATGTTGTCATTTTGCCTAGGCAAGTACTCAAATTAGGAAAAGGTCTTTCATTTCTGGACTTATGGCTCAGGTCACCTCAAGCTCATTTATAACTATGTCTTGTCTTCAGTGGCAGACTACACAATATTTTTTTTTCCAATCAAGATCCTAGGAGGTAGAAAGGGAATTCCCCACACAGTAAAGAAGACACAGCCTGGGTCCCATCTTCTCTTCTCCCCTCTCAGCTGCAGGAGGACGAGCTGCGGGATGCAGTGCTGCTGGTATTTGCCAACAAGCAAGACATGCCCAACGCCATGCCCGTGAGCGAGCTGACTGACAAGCTGGGGCTACAGCACTTGCGCAGCCGCACGGTAAGGGTCCTGCCCACCTGGTGCTGAATCCTGCCTCTTTAGGGAGGCCACAGGCTGGGACAGGGATATAAAGGCCCTTTTGTTCCTGGTTGCTGACCTCTTTCTTTCCTTTTCCCCACAGTGGTATGTCCAGGCCACCTGTGCCACCCAAGGCACAGGTCTCTATGATGGTCTGGACTGGCTGTCCCACGAGCTGTCAAAGCGCTAACCAGCCAGGGGCAGGCCCCTGATGCCCGGAAGCTCCTGCGTGCATCCCCGGGATGACCAGACTCCCGGACTCCTCAGGCAGTGCCCTTTCCTCCCACTCTTCCTCCCCCACAGCCACAGGCCTCTGCTCCTGCTCCTGCCTGCATGTTCTCTCTGTTGTTGGAGCCTGGAGCCTTGCTCTCTGGGCACAGAGGGGTCCACTCTCCTGCCTGCTGGGACCTATGGAAGGGGCTTCCTGGCCAAGGCCCCCTCTTCCAGAGGAGGAGCAGGGATCTGGGTTTCCTTTTTTTTCTGTTTTGGGTGTACTCTAGGGGCCAGGTTGGGGGGGAAGGTGAGGGTTCCGGGTGGTGCTATAATGTGGCACTGGATCTTGAGTAATAAATTTGCTGTGGTTTGTACACGGTGTTGTCTATAGCCTGCAACGGGGAGACTGGGTTACTGGGTACCAAGAGAGAACATGGGAGAGGATCAAAGCAGCTAAGGCTGCAGGGCAACCCCACCCACACATACCTCAGCTCAGCTTCTCCCTCCTTATTGGGCTGGAAATACTGTAGGGTTTCCAGTGGTGGAAGTCTCATTCCTTCCCAGCTCCAAGGACCCTTTGCTGAAGATTACAGGATCTCCCTTCATAGTTCCATGAACCACGTAACTATTCCCATCATTCTCGTAGCTACTTAGAGCAGTTCTTAATGTTTGCCTTGCACATTAAAATTAGAGGGGGAGAGAATGTGCGTTAATAATGCGAATCCTGAGGTACATTTCAGAAAATGTGATTCGTCAGGACTAGTCTGATGCCCAACAATATGAATCTTTAAAATTACCCAGGGGAGGCCAGGCACGGTGGCTCACACCTGTAATCCCAGCACTGGGAGGCTGAGGTGGGTGGATCACAAGGTCAGAAGATTGAGACCACGGTGAAACCCCATCTCTATTAAAAAAAAATATAAAAAAATTAGCCGGGCGCGGTGGTGGGTGCCTGTAGTCCCAGCTACTCGGGAGGCTGAGGCAGGAAAATGGCGTGAACCCAGGAGGCGGAGCTTGCAGTGAGTTGAGATCACACCACTGCACTCCAGGGTGACAGCGCAAGACTCCGTCTCAAAAAAATAAAAAATAAAATTACCCAGAGGATTCTGCCACTAATAGTCTATTATCCTTATTTTATAAAACATGGGTGGAGTCTGGGGCTTGTAGTTCCTTGCTGCTCGCCACTGAGACTCTTGCTACCTGGGAAGACCCCACCTATGGGGAATAGGAAAGCAGGTGTAAGGAACCAGGGGTGGCTGGGCACTGTGGCTCATGCCTGTAATTCTAGCACTTTGGGAGGCTGAGGCAGGAGGATTGCTTGATCCCAGAAGTTAAAGACCAGCCTGGGCAACATGGCAAGATCCCATCTCTACAAAAAAACAAAAATAAAAAATTACCTGGTCATGGAGGTGTACACCTGTGGTCCCAGCACCTCAGGAGGCTGAGGCAGGAGGATCACTTGAGCTTGGGAGATCAAGGCTGCGGTCAACTGAGATGCACTCCAACCTAGCTAGCAGAGCAAGACCCTGTCTCAAAAAAAGGAACCAGGAGAGTGGCCTATTCTCCAAGTGTGATTGACTGCCCATTTTTCCTTGAATCCTAGCCAGGCTTAGGCAGAACTCATCATCACTTCTTTTTGCCTTTCTTTTTCTTTCATGTCACTTTTTCCTTCATGTCACTTTTTCCAGGTTCTGAGCTGGGTTTTCTCCTCAAGCTTTGCAGGAAGTGAGTCCAAGAGACTATAACTCGGAGATTCTTTGAAGGGGAAAGATATCCTTGCAGGAGCTCTGTCTGCCCAGCCAGCTGTCCTACCCACCAGCAGAGCAGCTGGGGTTGAGGAGGGCTGCTTGGTGCTCTCTCCACCTATGCACTTCTCCTTACCCAGGTCCTGAGCCAGCCTTCGTGATGAATATGTGTTATTTGATGTCAGCTGATTAACTAGGGTTTCCTCATACTCCCTGCAAAGCAACATCTGGAACATTTTGACCTCATCCTCTTAAGGGCCATAAAAGTTGATAGATTTTTCTTAGATATCTTTTACTTAACAAAATACCTGAGCTGCAAGGAAGCCAGGCAGAACCCACTTCCTTGGGAGGAAAGAGGTTGATTTCTATCCTGTTGTTAGAATGAGAAACAGAGGTAAAGAAAGGGGAAAACTTGCCTAAATTCACAGGTTGAAGTTCCAGATCCTGGTCTCAGCTCAGCCTACCTCGGTGCCCAGAGGGGAATAGGAAGGCAAACACCAGAGGCTCTGGACCCGCCTCCTCTAGGCCGTGGATTAATGCTGCTGGGCAAGGGCCCTTTCCCCACTACAGTGGGATAAGAGGCTGCCCTCACAGTCACAATGCTCCCGGGTCACAGAGGTGCTGGGCCCCAGGCCAGCCTCTGCCTGGGAATTTCTCTCTGGGAACATCTGGTGGGTACTACAGGCCCTATGGCCTGTGGAACCTCACTACGGGGGGGAGGGCTGGGCCGGACGGAGTCATCACCTGTGGTGTCGGCCCCATGGATGAGATGGAGTGGATACACAGACATCCCAAGGCTGAGGACCTAAGGGTTGGGCTCATCAGCTGGGCAGGAACTTACCTCACCTTTGAGGCATGCAAGGATACAGTCACTGCAACTGCGAAGAGTTTGGGCAGGAGACAGGTGACAAAGCAAACCTATACTAGAACCAGTTTTCTGAGTGGCCAAGCTGTCTGTGTGTGTGTATGTGTGTATGCACTTGCCTGTATATGAAAGTGGGATGTACTCTCAACCTAATCACTTTCCTAGGTTCTGCCATTGCCAGCCCTGAGACTTTTCTACTCCAGGCTTTTGTTCACAGACCCCATTGCCCCATCTCCCACCTCTCAACTTATTCCACAAAAAGAAGCCTCAGCCTTGCCCTCGCTGCCTTGTCCTGCTCTAACTGTCCCCTATTCCCCATCCCAGCACAGTGTGGTTGTGTCATAAAGAAGAGAAGTGGAGAGCCCAGGTGGGAAAGCGGAATTGTGGGCATCCAGGGGAAGTTGGACCAGTGGAGTTATTGCAAAGCCTATGTTTCTGTTCTGGTTGTGGTTTGAGAAAGGGGAACTCCAGAAGCCCTAGCAGTGTTGGTCTTCATTCTAGAGAGGAATGTAGGCACCTCTGGGATGGGTGCCAGAGTGAGGCAGGGGAGAAGTTCTTCCTTTTATAACAAGGTTGATCACAGCTGAACCAGGCAGTTGCATCTGAACTGTTCGTGCTCCCATCTTCATCCCTGGAGCCAGGGCCTGCCTATAAGAGCTTTTGCTTCTGTCTTGCTATGCTGGAAGGCAACCTTTGGGGATGGAGTTATTGGCTAAGGGTGCTCTCTGTGGACAACAGTGAGGAAGAAAAAAGTAAGACTTATACCAAAGCATTTCTTTAAAAATTAGATATTGAAGAGCGGGATTAAGAAAGGAGGGAAGTTTACCTTCTGTTAGCTGAAGGAGGTGGACATCAAGAACTTATCTTTGGATCTTGCCATCTGGCTGCAGGGGTGGAAGGGCCCAGAGATCTTTTGATGAGGGGAGATTGGGAAAGTGGAAGAGCTGACAGCAAGGAGACACCAGGGCTGATGTGGAAGGGCAGGTGGTTGGTGCTGATGAAGGTGCCAGGATGATGCCAGCCATGACAGTTGCAGGGCTCCTTGGTCTGGTAACTTGGTGACACTGATTTCCCTCCTCTCCCTCCTGATGCCTCCAGACCTGGGAGATCCTGGTGAGCAATGAGCATGAGACACAGGCCGTGGTACGACTAAAGAGTGTGCAGGGCCTCTACCTGCTGTGTGAGTGTGATGGCACTATGTGTTATGGCCGCCCAAGGACCAGCCACCATGGGTGCTTTCTATTGCGTTTCCACCGGAACAGCAAGTGGACCCTCCAGTGCCTAATTTCTGGTCGTTATCTGGAGTCCAATGGCAAGGACGTGTTTTGCACTTCCCGGGTCCTCTCAGCTTACCACATGTGGACCCCCCGACCAGCCCTCCATGTCCACGTGATCCTCTACAGCCCCATCCACCGCTGCTATGCCCGGGCTGACCCCACTATGGGCCGCATCTGGGTGGATGCAGCAGTTCCCTGCCTGGAGGAGTGTGGCTTCCTGTTGCATTTTCGAGATGGATGCTACCACCTGGAGACCTCTACACACCACTTTTTGTCCCATGTAGACCGGCTGTTCTCCCAACCCTCATCACAGACAGCTTTTCACATGCAAGTGCGGCCTGGAGGGCTTGTGGCACTGTGTGATGGAGAAGGAGGCATGTTATATCCACAGGGCACGCATCTGCTCTTGGGCCTGGGTTGCAACCCCGTGAGGGGTGAGGAGTGGTTCATCCTACAGCACTGCCCAACCTGGGTGAGACTCAGGTCAAAGACTCGGCGGTTCATTTCAGTCATCTACGGTAAGTGCTGGGCCCAACACAGCGATGGAGAGAGGAAGGGCTGGCTGTTGAAAAGAGGAAAATGTGTTTGGGATCAGCATAGATTTTTGAGTCTGCTAATAAGGAAGATCCTGGGGTCCCAAGGGGATCTTTTGTGCCGTCGAGAAGGACAGAAAAGCATGGGTATGGGATTTAGGGGAAAGTTGCCTGGGTCTTGTGCAGACCTACCATGGTCCAACAGAAAGTGATGAAGGTTGAGAAGGGAAAAAGGAGGGACAGAAGCCCTGGTCATAAAACATGGAGAAGGGGCCAAGACTGAGGGTGAGGCTTTTACTGACGTGCGCTTCCTCTGCAGATGATGAGGTGCGTGCTGCTTCTGAGCGCTTAACCCCAATGTCCTTGTTCCAGTTTGAATGTGACAGTGAGAGCCCCACTGTGCAGCTTCTTTCAGCCAATGGCTACTACCTAGCCCAGGTGAGACCTTGGCTTCCTGAGCAAGAGAAACCTTAAGCTCTGAGCTCTCCCTGCCTAGACTTCCTTCTTTTTCAAGGCAAATGGTGAGAGGATGATGTGGGCTGTGGAGGCACGTGTCGATAAACATTCATTTTCACCCAATGGGGCCTCCTTTTTTTAAAAAAAAAAAAAAATCAACTGTATTAAGGTATAATTTGCATGTATGTAAATTATATAATACACATATGTATAAATTATGTATATTGTATACAAATATGCATATTATGTATGTTTTATAAATAAAATGCACCTATTAAGTGTAAAATTCAGTAAGTTTTGACAAATGTATCCATCCATGCAACCATGCCATAAGCATATCACAAGTGAGAGAATATTTTCAACGCCACAGAATTTCCTCTTGTTTCTTTGCAGTTTCCCTCCACCCTTGCCCTCCCTCTCCCAGCTACCACTGATCTGTGTTCTGTCTCTGTGAATTAGATTTGCCTACCTACTTTAGCATTTCTGATAAATGGAAACATACAGTATGTATGGTACATATGTTTCTTCTGCTTGGCACAATGTTTTTAAGATTCGTTCATAATGTTCGTGTATCAGTAGTTCATTCCTTTTTATTGCCGAATGGTATTCTATAATGCTGCTCATAAATGTGATTTGTTTATCTATTCACTTGTTGATGAACACTTGGGTTGTTTCTAGTCTGGGCTATTAGGAATAAAGTTGCTATAAGCATTCATGTACAAGTCTTTTTGTGAACATACATTTTCATTTATCTTGGGTAAATATGTAGGAGTGGAATTACTAGGTTGTATAATAGATATGTGCTTAACTTTATAAGAAAATGTCAGTTTTCTAAAGTGACTATACTATTTTACATTCTTGTCAATAATGTGTGAGGGTTCTAAGAATTCCATATCCTCACCAACAGTAAAGCCGGCTTTTGGATTATCTATCTTTTCTATTTTAGCCACTCTAGTGGGTGCGTAATTTATGGATTTAATTCATATTTACCTTATAATTAGTAAGGTTTAGAATTTTTTTTTTTTTTTGAGGCAAAGTCTCACTCTGTCACCTGGACTGGAGTGCAATGGCTCAGTCTCAGCTCACCACAAGTTCCACTTCCCGGGTTCAAGAGATTCTTCTACCTCAACCTCCCGAGTAGCTGGGACTACAAGCATGCACAACCGTGTCCGGCTAATTTTTTGTATTTTTAGTAGAGATGGGGTTTCACTACGTTGGCCAGGCTGGTCTCGAACTCCTGACCTCATGATCTGCCCACCTCAGCCTCCCAAAGTGCTGGGATAACAGGTATGAGCCACCGTGCCCATTTTCATGTGCTCATTGGCCATTTGTATATCTTCTCTGCAACGTATCTGTTCAGATCCTTTGCTATTTGTTACTGGGTTGTTTGTCTTATTAATGAGTTGTAAGAGTTCTTTATGTATTCTAAATCCAAGTCCTTTGCCAAATATATGTATTGCAAAAGTTTTCTCCCAACCTGGGGCTTGCCTTTTTATTTGTTTAATGGTTCTTTTGAGAAGCAAGTTTTTAATTTCAGTGAAGTTCAGTTTATCAGTTTTTTAAAATGGTTACTGCTTTTCTTGTCCCAAGAAACCATTGCCTACCCCAAACTTGCAAAGAACTTCTCTTATGTATTCTTCTAGATGTTTCATAGTTTACCTTTCACTTTTATGCCTATGATCTACTTCAAAATGATTTTGGAGTCAAGACTGAGGTTTATTTCTCTCCCTGTGATATCCTGACCTAGTTTTTATGCTGTGCTCTGGGAGACAGCACAGACTGGGGGAACGGGGAGAGCTGAGGCCACAGTACATCTTCCAAAAGGATTCTCATCAACTCTGGGAGCATGAAAAAGGCTGATAGGTGGGATGTGGGAAAGAGAGTCTAGGAATAAAACTGGTTTTATTCCTAGAAAGCTGAGATTGTCGGTCCTTACTCCTCATCTCTGTTCCTGACATTCTTTCCAGAGGCGCCACAGGGCAGTGATGGCTGATGGGCACCCCCTGGAGTCTGACACGTTCTTCCGAATGCACTGGAACTGTGGCAGGATCATCCTGCAGTCCTGCAGGGGGCGCTTCCTGGGCATTGCACCCAATGGCCTGCTGATGGCCAATGCTACCCTTCCAGGTGAGTGGAGCAGCCTTCCTGCCAGATGATTCCAAGTCACGGAGAACTTTAGAGGGAGGTGGAATATGATGGTTAAAAAGAACACTGAAGGCTGGGTGTGGTGGCTCACGCTTGTAATCCCAGCACTATGGGAGGCTGAGGTGGGTGGATCACAAGGTTAGAAGTTTGAGACCAGCCTGACCAACATGGTGAAACCCCATCTCTACTGAAAATACAAAAACTAGCCAGACGTGGTGGTGCATACCTGTAACCCCAGCTACTCAGGAGGCTGAGGCAGGAGAATCGCTTGAACCTGGGAGGTGGAGGTTGCAGTGAGCCAAGATCGTGTCACTGCACTCCAGCCTGGGCAACAGAGTGAGACTCCATCTCAAAAAAGGAAAAAACAAAAACAAAAAAATAAAACACTAGAGTCGGGGTCAGAAGATTTGGGTCTGTACTCAGTCACTGAATTTTTGTCATCACTTGAGCAAAGCACCTCCTTGAGCCTCAGTTTTGTCGTCTATAAAAATGGACATTTCATTGTCTACAATTCTGCGGCCTCACAGAATTGTTGTGAGGATTAAACACATCAACACACCTCAAAGGAAGGAAGAATATTAAAGCTTCTTGGGTTTCGCATGTGCTAGGTGCTCTCACAAGCATTTCACAAGCACCTAGTGTAAGATCTGACACATAGTAGGTGTTCATTCAGTGTTAAAATATTGACCACACCCTTCTGCAATTAGTGTCCCCCACTCCTGCTTCCACTTGGGAAAAACACCTAAAGGCAGCCCATCCAGATAATCCTTCCTATTTCTTTCAGGCCCAAATGAGGAATTTGGGATTTTATTTGCCAATCGCCCCTTCCTTGTATTGCGAGGTCGTTATGGCTATGTGGGCTCCTCATCAGGCCATGACCTCATACAGTGCAACCAGGATCAGCCCGACCGCATTCACCTACTACCCTGCCAACAGGGTATCTACCACTTCCAGGGTGAGTGGCTCCTCTTGCCCGCCTGAGAGTTCACAGTCTAGTCCCTGCCTTAGCCCCAGCTCAGACTTCAGGGCCTGCCACCCAGGGCCTCTCATTATAAAAGGAAAAACAGGCCGGGCACAGTGGCTCACGCCTGTAATCCCAGCACTTTGGGAGGCCGAGGCGGGTGGATCATGAGGTCAGGAGATCGAGACCATCCTGGCTAACACGGTGAAACCCCATCTCTACTAAAAATACAAAAAACTAGCCGGGTGTGGTGGTGGGCGCCTGTAGTGCCAGCTACTCGGGAGGCTGAGGCAGGAGGAATGGCACAGGCGGAGTTTGCAGTGAGCCGAGATTGCGCCACTGTACTCCAGCCTGGGCATAAAGCGAGAATCCATCTCAAAAAAAAAAAAAAAAAAAAAAAAAAGGAAAAACAGGATCTCTGTTTGTTTTCACACTTCAAAGCCCCAGGTGGGTTGGCAGAACAGACAGCAGTGGAATCCCTATTGGCCCTCCTGCATTTCCGTAGAAGGACCTGCCAATGCAGGCAGGATGGGGCAGCCAGGGGAGGGTGGCATGCCTCCACGAAGCCCCTCCAAGGCTAGATTGCTGGAGGACTCCCCTATGAATGGCCTACCAACCTGAGCTCTTCCTTCTCCAGCACAGGGGGGATCCTTCTGGTCAATAACATCCTTTGGTACCTTTCGCCCTTGGGGCAAGTTTGCCCTCAACTTCTGTATCGAGCTTCAGGGGAGCAACTTACTCACCGTACTGGCCCCCAATGGCTTCTACATGCGAGCCGACCAAAGCGGCACCCTGTTGGCAGACAGCGAAGACATTACCAAAGAGTGTATCTGGGAATTTTAGGTAAGGGAGAAGAAGAGGTAAGGGGCTAGGGGAGCAGAAGCCATGGGGCAAGAGGAGATGGGAGATGGGTGGGGAGGCATATGATGGGAAGACCAAAATGCACTCCCAGGCTGACATCTGTCCCATAATTTGATCAACTCCAGACATTTATTCCAAATCTGTGCCGTTTCTTGAGAGCTTATAAACCTGGGTTTGCTAGAGAGGGGAGACAGTTTCCCACTGCTATGCCACACTGACTCGTGGGCTTGCAAGCATGCCTGGAGGGGACAGGGTGAGGTATTCTTGTACATCTCTATCTTCATTAAGATGCAGAATTTCACTCTATTTTTAGGGAAAATGGACGACTTTGATCATATATGTAGGTAAAAAAAAGATGTGCTTTCTATCCTTTGCACTTTCTATCCCTACCTCTTGGACCCCTGGAGTTCTTGAATATTTGTCCTCAGCTCCGACCCTTCTCCTGACCTCTAATGTCATGTCTCTCCAACCTCCTGATAGACAGTTGACTTGACTTCATCCTGACAGTTCCTAAAAATCAACATAGTTGATATCAGCCTGCTCATCTTCCCTTCCTAAGGTGATCCTGTTTTCCTGCCTTTCCCAGGACCATCTTGGGCATTTCCTCCTCCCAAATGCTCAGGCTCAAGAGCTCAGCACCATCTCTCTACTCTTTCTTTCACTTCCTTCATCAAGCCCTGCAAATTCTTGGCTACTTCTTTAACAATGCCTCTTGCATGCTTGCTCCTTCTTAATTATCATTGCCACCGCTTGGCTCCAGGCTTTTCTCCAGAAGCACTGCTTCTACGGCTCCCCCGAAGCCTACGGCTCCTCCTGCTGCCAGATCCATCCATCCAATCTCATCTCTAACATCCAATCTCATTTGCACTCTGTTTGCTTTTATAACATGCTGCTTCCCTTCCATCAATCCCTTTTCACACTCTTCAGGGCACCTTGTTGCTCTTAGTCCTGTCCCTTCCTAATGGACCTCACTTTCCTGACTTATTGTGCAAAGTGCTTTGTTTTTGACATCATGCAGACCTGGAATCAAGAGCTTCTTCCTGTAAGTTAACTTCACATATATCTAGGGTGGATCCCTCATCAAGAATGGGATAAATCACTTTATTCTCTTTCCTCCCACAGGATCTTACCCAGTATTCTAAAAGCCAGAGATCAGCAAATGACTAACTTGATTGCTGACCATTTATATTTCCTCTTTCCTCTCCAGGTCAATGGGATGTCACCTACCAAAATCCAAATCCTCCAAGAAAAACTACTACACTAAATGGAACAGGAACCCCAGAGTCAAGATCCAAGAGAAGAATATCTGTTACAACTCTTCCTACCCAGTTTAGCAAAACACCTGTTTTATGCAACAATACATCACAACAGGCCACCCCCAAGATCCTTGTGTGCATCTGACTCAGTATAGAGTAGGGGTCTGGATGAGGGTTGAAACAGAGGCCCCAGGCTGCTCTAAGTTCTATCCAGGAGAGACCAAATGGCAAGCAGTTCTTCCACTGATCCTCCCTGTCCCTGTCCAGAACTGCTAGACTTTTTCCAGTGAACCCGTGAGCAGCCAGCATTGCCCTGAAGGGTTTAGAATCCAGTTATGACTTTAAATATCTTTTTGGTTTATAAAAAAGGAAAGATTGTTAATCCTGTGGGCACAGGATAATGGTAATAACACCTTATGCCTGTATAGGCCGCTTTACCTCCTCCTACCACGATTTATCCAACTTAGCCCACCCATCATTACCTTTTTTCCAGTGAAGTGGGTACTTCCTCCATCACTTCTTACTTTTTTTTTTTTTTGAGACAAATTCTTGCTCAGTCGCCCAGGCTGGAGTGCAGTGGCAGTGGCATGATCTTGGCCCACTGCAACCTCCGCCTCCTGGGGTCCAGCAATTCTCCTGCCTCAGTCTCCCAAGTAGCTGGGATTACAGGCGCCTGCCACCACATCCAGCTACTTTTCTTGGTTGTATTTTTAGTAGAGACAGGGTTTCGTCATGTTGGCCAACCTGGTCTCGAACTCTTGACCTCAGGTGATACACCCGCCTCGGCCTCCCAAAGTCCTGGGATTATAGGCATGAGCCACCACACCCGGCAGACTTCTTACCTTTCGCAGATAGCAAAAGTTATTTGCCCAGGGTCTCATGACTAATCACAACACAGCTAGACTTCTGACTCAAATCTAACTCTAATGTCCACCATTCTTTCAATCAAAGCAGGATTTCCAAAATGTCTGTCATTCTTACACTGTCTTTGTGATTTTGGCCTTCATCTACCTACCATCTGCCCTATTAATGTTCTTATTGACATAGACTCTTAAATACATTTATTTAGAAAGGAATATTTTTTCACTATCATAAAATGGAAAACCAGAATCACTTACCTTAAGTGGAAAATGAGTATAAAAATAAATACAAGTATACCTCAGAGATATTGTGGGTTCAGTTCCAGACCACTGTGATAAAACAAATATGGCAATAAAACAAGTCACACAAATTTTTTGGTTTCCCCAGACATGTAAAAATTATGCTTACACTATACTGTAGTCTATTAAGTATGTAATAGCATTATGTCTTAAAAACAATGTACATACCTTAATTTTAAAATATTTTATTGCTAAAAAATACTAATGATCATCCGGGCGCAGTGGCTCACGCCTGTAATCCTAACGTTAGGCATTAGGGAGACCTAGGCAGGCAGATCACTTAAGGTCAGGAGTTCAAAACCAGCCTGGCCAACATGGTTGAAATCCCGTCTCTACTAAAAATACAAAAAATTAGCTGGGTGTGGTGGCAGATGCCTGTAACCCCAGCTACTTGGGAGGCTGAGGCAAGAGAATCACTTGAACCCAGGAGGCAGAGGTTGCAGTGAGCTGAGATGGTGCCATTACACTCCAACCTGGGCAAAAGAGCGATACTCCCTCTCAAAAAAAAAAAAAAGGCTAATGATCATTTGAACCTTCAGTGAGTCATAATCTTTTTGCCAGTGGAGGATCTTGCCTTTATGTTGATGGTTGCTGACTGATCAAGGTGGCGGTTGCTGAAGGTTGGGGTAGCTGTGGTGATTTCGTAAAATATGACAATAAAGTTTGCTGCATTGATTGATTCTTTCTTTCACGGAAGATTTCTCTGTAGCATGTGATGCTGTTTGATAGCATTTGGCCCACAGCAGAACTTCTTTAAAAATCGGAATAAATCCTCTCAAACCTTATTGCTGTTTTATCAATTAAGTTTATGTAATGTTCTAAATCTTCCATTGTCGTTTCAGCAATGTTCACAGCATCTTCACCAGGAGTAGATTCCATCTCAAGAAACCACTTTCTGGCCAGGCGTGGTGGCTCACACCTGTAATCCTCACACTTTGGGAGTCCGAGGTGGGTGGATCACGAGGTCAGGAGATCCAGACCATCCTGGCGAACACGGTGAAACCCTGTGTCTACAAAAAATACAAAAAATTAGCCAGGCATGGTGGCGGGCGCCTGTAGTCCCAGCTACCCAGGAGGCTGAGGCAGGAGAATAGTGTGAACCCAGGAGACGGAGCTTGCAGTGAGCCGGGATAGCACCACTGCACTCCAGCCTGGATGACAGAGCAAGACCCTGCCTCAAAAAACAAAAAACAAAAAGCAAAAAAACACTTTCTTTGTTCATCCATAAGAAACAACTCCTTACCGGTTCAAGTTTTATCACAAGATTATAGCAATTCAGTCTCATCTTCAGGCTCCACTTCTAATTCTAGTTCTCTTGCTGTTTCACCACATCTCCAGTGATTTCCTCCAATGAAGTGCTGAATTCTTCAAAGTCATCCGTAAGGGTTGGAATAAACTTCTTCCAAAATCCTGTTACTATTAACATTTTGACCTTCTCCCATGAATCATGAATGTTCTTAATGGGCATCTAGAGTGATGAATCCATTTCAGAAGGTTTTCAATTTACTTTGCTTGGATCCATCAGAGGAATCACTAATATAAGGCAGGTATAACTGTATAAAATGTATTTCTTAAATAATAAGACTTGAAAGTCAAAATTACTCCTTGATCTGCAGGCTGCAGGATGGATGTTAGGACAGCAGGCATGAAAACAACATTAGTCTCCTTATATATTGCCATCAGAGCTCTTGGGTGACCTCTCAATTAAGGCATTGTCAATGAGCAGTAATATTTTAAAATAAAGATTTTTTTCTGAGCAGTAGATCTCAATAGCTGGCTTAAAATATTCCGTAAACCACACTGTGAACAGATGTGCTGTCAGCCAAGCTTTGCTGTTCCATTTACAGAGCACAGGCAGAGTAGATTTAGCATTATTCTGCAGGGCCCTAGGATGTTCAGAATGATAAATGAGCCCTGGCTTCCACTTAAAGTCACCAGCTGCAGTGGCCCCTCACAAGAGAGTCAACAGCTGTCTGTTGAAACTTTGAAACAAGCATTGACTTCTGTGTAGTTGTAAAAGTTCAGATGGCATCCTCTAATAGAAGCCTGTTTTATCTATATTGAAATCTGTTGTTTCGTATGGCCACCTTCATCAGTGATCTTAGCTGGATCTTCTGGCTCTTGCTGCAGCTTCTATAATATATCAACATTGGCTGCTTCACTTTGCACTTTTATGTTATGGAGATGGCTTCTTCCCTTAAGCCTCATGAGCCAACCTCTGTTAGCTTCAAACTTTTCTTCTGCGGCTTCCTCACTTCTCTCAGCTTCATTGAATTGAAGAGAGTTTAGGGCCTTGCTCTGGATTAAGCTTTGGCTTAAGAGAGTGTTGTGGTTGGTTTGATCTATCCAGGCCACTAAAACTTTCTCCTGTCAGCAATAACGCTATTTCACTTTCTTATCATTTGTGTGTTCACTGGAGTAGCCCTTTTAATTTCCTTCAAGAACTTTTCTTTTGCATTCACAATTTGCTAATAACTGTTTGGCAAAGGAGGCCTCGCTTTCCACCTATCTTAGCTCTCAGCAGGTCTTCCTCACTAAGCTTCATCATTTGTAGATTTTGCTTTAAAGGGAGAGATGTGTGGCTGTCCTTTCTTGAACACTAAGAGGGAATTGTGGGGTTATTCATTGGCCTAATTTCAATATTGTTGTCTTAGGGATTAGGAAGGCCCGAGGAGAGGGAGGGAGAAGTGGGAAGGACCAGTCCCTGGAGCAGTCAGAACACACATCACATTTATCAGTTAAGCTCACCATTTTATTTTATTTTATTTTATTTTATTTTATTTTATTTTATTTTATTTTATTATTTTAGGCAAAGTCTCGCTCTGTCACCCAGACTGGAGTATAGTGGTGCAATCTCAGCTCACTGCAACCTCCACCTCCTGGGTTCAAGGGATTCTCCTGCCTCAGCCTCCCAAGTAGCTGGGATTATAGGCACGTGCCGACACACCCAGCTAATTTTTGTATTTTTAGTAGAGATGGGGTTTCACCATGTTGGCCAGGTTGGTCTCAAACTCCTGACCTCAGGTGATCCACCTGCCTCAGCCTCCCAAAGTACTAGGTTACAGGCGTGAACCACCAAGCCCAGCCAAGTTCACCATTTTATATGGATGTGAGTTGTGGCGCCCCAAAACAATTACAATAGTAACATCGAAGATCATTAATCACAGATTACCATAACAGATAACAATGAAAAAGTTTGAAATACTGCAAGAATTACCAAATTACCAAAATGTGACATGGAGACACAAAGTGAGCACATGCTCTTAGGAAAGTGGTACCAACAGACTTGCCTCAAACCTTCAATTTGTTTAACAAAATATAAAAATAAAAAAGCAGTATCTGTGAAATACACTAAAGCAAAGTCAAAGTGCGCTAAAATGAGGTGCACTTGTGTAATGAAAATAAAGTGATGATACCAAATCCTAGTTAAACTTTTCTTCCCTGCCCAAGGCTCAGAGCCTGAGGTTCCTTTTCCCTTTACCCTTTACTAATAAAAGAGATGAAGAACTTTTTTATTTTATTTTTTTTTTGACTCCACCCAGGCTGGAGTGCTGTGGCATAATCTGGGCTCACTACAACCTTCGCCTCCCAGGTTCAAGCAATTCTTCTGCCTCAGCCTCCCACGTAGCTGGGACCACAGGCTCCTGCCACCATGCCCAGCTAATTTTTGTATTTTTAGTAGAGATGGGGTTTCACCATGTTGGCCAGGCTGGTCTCAAATTCCTGACCTCAAGTGATCAGCCCACCTCGCCTCCCAAAGTGTTGGGATTACAGGTATGAGCCACCACGCCCGGCCAACAACTGTTAAAGTGACACCAAAGACTAGGACCAAAGTGAAACTTTCTCCTTGATACAATCAGAATTGAAAGGGGGTTGAAAAGGGAATAATTTTCTCACTTCTGACTCAATATTATTTGAATCAACATACACACGCCTCCTGAAGTGTTCTTAAATACCAACAGTGCTGCCTATTCCCCACTTTGGAAAATTTGCCCCATACCATAATGAATGAATGATTTTTAAATCTGTTGACAACAGAAGGCTGAAACTGGAACATGAGAGAGATTCAGTTTGGATAGAGGAAAATGATTTTATCTTTTGTAATTATATCACCCCTCAAGAGATATAAAAGAATTTTTTTTAAATTTCAGTCCAGTAATAGGTGAGGTAAGTGAAAAGTAGAACACTGGAGTTCAGGGCATTTCCTTTCCTAGAAAGCATTAAGAATAGGCCACTTGCTGGATGCAGTGGCTCACGCCTTTAATCCTTGGGAGGCCAAGGCAGGAGGATCACTAGAGCCCAGGAGTTAAAGACCAGCCTCGGCAACACAGGGAGACTTTGTCTCTACGAAAAACAAAACAATTAGCCGGGCATGGTGGTGTGCTCCTATACTCCCAGCTACTTGGGAGGCTGAGACAGAAGGATTGCTTGAGCCCGGAGGTTGAGGCTGCAGTGAACTGAGGTTGTACCACTGCACTCCAGCCTGGGCAACAGAGAAATAACCTGTTTCAAAAAAAAAAAAAAAAAAAAAAGATAGTGCTCTATTAACCTTGAAATTTCATATCCACATATGTGCAGTGGGATACACTCTTCAGAGCGATAGGACCTTGGAGGTCATTTAATGCCGAATCTCTCCCTCAGCATTCTAATCCCCCCAGGTACCTGCAGGGGATGTGTTCTAAGACTTCCAGCATATACCTGAAACCACAGGTAGTACCATATCATACATACACTCTTTCTTCCTATACATACACACCTAAAGTTTAATTTGTAAATTAGGCACAGTAAGAAGTAAACAATAACTAATAATAAAATAGAATGATTATCACAAATGCCACTATCACTACTCTTGCACTTTGGGGCCATTATTAAGTAAAATAAGGGTTACATGAACACAAGCACTGCAATGCCAAGACAATTATCTGATAATCAAGACTGCCACTGACTAGTGAGCAGGTAGCACAGACAACATGGAGATACAAGACTTCTCAAGCTACTCAGAATGACATGCAACTTAAAATCAATGGGTTGCTTATTTCTGGAATTTTCTATTTAATATCTTCAGACTGCAGTTAATCACAAGTAACTGAAACCCAAAAAGCAAAACCATGGATAGAGGGGGGAATACTGTACACATTCAGATGCATGGGCACACACACACACACACACACACACACACACACACACAATCTTATGCCCTGTTCCCCACATGGCCAACTGTCACAGGATACTTCAGGTGTTGCTTTTCTGGCTGGAAACCTCTGTGGTTGGTGGTGCCTTTGCCTGAGTTTTGCTCAGGCTGCTGGGCTCATTCCACAAACTCGGCGTGGCAGGCTGCACTCAGCTTGTACTACTGTCCTGGATCCCACACCTGCCCAGAGTGAGCCAGGAGTGGAGCAGTGAGGGTTATGTGAACAAGTGGGGGGTGTAGCCACTGTGCACAGTCAGACATCCTGGCTGTGGGGGGCAGGCAGCTCCAGGTGCTGGTACAGATGCCGGCTCTGTGCAAGGCTTCAGCAGGACCACAAGCAGCATCCACTGCAGGTGCTGGAGAATGCAGTGGTGCCTGGAAGCTTGGAGATGCCAGGAACTGCAGGGCCCCAAAGAGGGTATCACAGCCCTGGCCTGAGGAGCCCCTAGGTCTGGGGTCCCTGAAGGGCCACAGCTCTTCTCTCTTTCTCATCACCCACAACATGGTGAGAGTGTGTGTGTGAGTGTTTCAGTTCTGTTTGTGTTACAGCTCTTTCAGTCCCACCATTTGGTGGATCTGGAGTTTTTGTCCCATGTCCAGGAAGAATGAGGTATGTGGACAACTGGAGGGTAAGCAAGGTAGAGAGGAGCTTCACTGAGCAACAGAACAGCTCCTTTCCAGAACAGGAAGTAGGTAGCTCCTTTCTGCTGGCAGGTCATTCCAAATAGTTGAGGACACCTGAAATGGGTAGCTCCTTCCCATAGCTGGTAGTCCCGATGTCTGTGTGACTCTGGCTGAGTCTTGGGGTTTTTATGGGCTCAGAAGAGAGGAGTGTGTGCTGACTGGTCCATAGGTGGCCATGGGTAGGTCTGGAAAAAGCACCATCCGATTGGCCAAAGGGTCATCAGTGAAGTCCTCACTCTGGGCCTCCTACTTCACCCAGAACTGGCAGCCTGGCCCCCAGGCTTCAGGCCATTCCTGGCTTAAAACTGGGGTTTCACTGGGGACTTGCCCCTTTCCATCTAGGAAACTGCCTGCCTCCCACTATCAACATGCTATCCATGGCACCCAGGCTGTTTGTCCTAAGGGGTGCCTGCAGGCCCACACCAAGATGCCCTCGGTCCCCTCCCTCTGGCCTTTCTCCTGCACTTGTTGGCACCCAAAGTCTGGAGGGGGCCAAGGTGGTAGGGGGGCTGGTGTGTCTCTGTACCACCCAGAGCATGCACACACCCAGCCAGGTCGTGACAGCACCCAGGTGCAGCCACAACTTTACTCCACACCCGAGTGGGCTCTGGGGGCAAGGAGAAGACAGGGAGTAGGAACAGGCACTTCTGAGCCTGTGGGGCAGGGGCTTCCTGGGCCCCTGAGAATGCAGGGATGCCTGGGTTTGGATCTATGGCTAGGCAGCTGCAGCTGTGTCCAGGAGCACTGGGCTCCCACCCTGCCAACTTTGTTGGGGGCATGGCTCCTGCCTGTTCCGGGTTCCCGCTGTCCCTGCAGAGTGCACAACCCCAGCCGTGCTTCCCCCTCTGAAGCCAGCATCTTCACAGCAGTGACTCAAGATGGGCTGCCACTACCATCACAACCATGAGGCCTCAGTTGAGACAGCTCCTTCAGTGACCGATGTCGGTCCTGTCATTGAAGTGAATGAATGCTTGTTCTCAGACTGCACTGTGCAGATTGTCAACCTCATCTCTTTCTGTTCTGCCTAGCAGGACCTCCAGCTGGAAAGTAGAGAAGGCAAGACAGGGGCAGGATGTGCTCTATTACCCTCAAAATTTCATTCTAGAGCTGTGCAGTCCCATAGAACTTTCTGCAATGACTGAAATGCTCTATAGTCTTTACAAGCCACATGTAACTATTGGGCATTTGGAAAGTGGCTAGTGTGAGTAAAGAACTGCATTGTTTTTCTTCTTCTTCTTCTTCTTCTTCTTCTTCTTCTTCTTCTTCTTCTTCTTCTTCTTCTTCTTCTTCTTCTTCTTCTTCTTCTTCTTTTTAATGTGAATTACATTTAAATAGCCACATGTGGTTGGTGGCTACTTATTTAACAGCACAGCTCAGAACAGCACAGCTCAGCACAGCACGGTATTTGATAATGAAGAGGCCTCTTGAATGACATCTTCTGGATCAGTACCTATCCCAGATAGAAGTAAACAACACCCCCCCACCTCCACCAGCATTGCACCATCATTATCCATTCCCTGCTTTTCAAAAGGGAAAGAACCTGGAAGGATAAGCCTATCCTCCTTTCGAATATCCCATTCTTCACCTCCTTTCCCCCATATTCCTCCGTTTCTCCACATCCTGAGACTTCTCAGGAAGGGCCTAGACCTTTATTTGAAGGGACAGAATTGAGAAGATTTAGAACTCACTGCCCAAAGAACGAAGCAAACATGCCCCTGGAGCATGTATAAATGAAGCACATATAAATGGAAAGCAAAATATGAAAAATGGCATTTCACTCTGCTTGCTGCTATGACAAAAATACATATGCAATTAGGGAATGAATGTCTATTTTCTTAGATTAAGGAGTTACAGTAAATTTTCTTAGATGCGGATATAATATTGTGATTATGTAAGACAAGTTTCTTGTTTTTTGGGGATGCATGCTGGAAGATTTAGGAATAAAATGCCATGATATAATATCAGTGTGTGTGTGTGTGTGCACACACACACTTGTGCATACACGTAGACATACGAGCCCCCAAACACCAAGATAGATACATACATAATACACATATAGATACATACATAATAGAGTAGATAAATTGATGCATTGACAAATACATTGTTTAGATACATATATAGCCTACACACATACATACATACATGCATAGATTGGAGGATAAGATACATAGATGTAAATAAATGATAGGGCAAACTGTCTATAATTGTTAAATATTAGAGTGGGCATAGGGGTGCTCACAGGGAAAACATGATGGACAACAGAACTACTGCTAATAAAAACTGCTTTTATTACTGCTGAGTGGAGGCCTCTTAAGGCCAGTGTGAGAAGTGGGTGGGTGTTGCTTCACCAGCCCCTCCAATCAGGTAATATGCCAGAGAGGCATCGAGGCAGGGCCAGGCAAGGTCCACACAGGAGGGAGCAATCACAGGAAAGAGGAAGGAGCCACAGTCTATATGGGCAAGATGGTAAGGACAATGGGCAGGATGGTATTAGATCCTCCCTATGCCATCTCCTTCCCATTCCTGCCTCATTCCAAGCCATACAGTAGTGGGCAGCCAGGCCAGAGCAGGGCCTCACAGCCACTAAGACTGGCCAGGGGACAGTGGGAGGAAGGGCAAGGAAGGCAAAGCAGTCCTGAGTCCAGGGAATTCGGCTGTGGGGGCAAGTGGCCTGTGGGGACAAATAGAGAGAGCTTGGGGTTATTGTTCCCATCCCACCTCTCAAAGTCGCTGTGGGAGAGAGACTGAGACATCAGTTTCCCATCCTGCATATACACACTTGAATCCCAATCTCACACCCTTACCTGCTATGGCTGTCAGTGATACCATAGACTCAAGGGTTACTAGTCTCCCTAACTTTGTGTACCATGCATAGAATAAGAAAAGCTGTATTGAAGTTCCTTTGATGACCCCCAGTGGAGATCCATGCTCTCCTGGAGGTTGGATCAGTCAGCCCTCCCCCACATCCTGCAGGACTGAGGCCTGGCCTGAATTCTTACCCCAGCAGGGCTTGAGACAGGCTTTAGGTGGGGTGTCACTCAGACACCTGTCTGGTGCTGTTGCCCAGCACAGCTGATAGCAGGAAGGACCCAGCGGTTCTAGGGCAGGCAGGACTGCTGTGGGCACACTGCCAGGGGACTGCTAAAAGAAAGCAAGAGAAGAACCTCAGCTTCCAGTGATGCCTCCAGTAGAGAACGCCGGGACCCCAGAGCTGCCTGCCACCCAGGTTGTATCCTGCACAACAGCAGAAGGCACTGTTCACATAGTAGACTTTGGGGATAGTACTTTCTCAACATGGACTCTGTGGGGCCCTAGAGAGCCAGAGATCCTGACTCAGGCCAGAAATGGGAGAGCCCGTGAGCCCTTCAGTCTTCCCACGGCACAGACTCCCCTCTCCTCCCGAGTACCTGTGCAGAGATGATTCCTGGGGCAACTCTTGGTACAGTCAGCCCCTGGGAAGCACCTATAAAATAAGAGTGAATCCACTCAGAAGGAGGAATTGGGGCCGGGTACAGGAGGAGTGTGGTGACAGGCAGGAAGGTTGGATGCCAGGAAACAACCACTTCTAGAAGGGGTGGGAGGAGATGGATATTTTAACCCAAAACTGTCCTCTTCCCCAAGACAGGTCCTTGGGAAACTGGAGAAGAATGATTAAATTCCAGTGATGGTACTGGGGACAGTGCAGCCTTAAGAACGGGGACTGTGTGTGCCCAGCATCTGGCACATGGTCTGGCACTTGGGAGATGCTGAGTAAATGTTGGATGGATGGGTGGATGGATACATAGATTAATGGAAAGATGAATTGATGGATGCATGGATGCATGAGTGGGTGGATGGATGCATGAGTGGATGAATGGATGAATGCATGAGCAGATGCATGGATGGATGCATGGGGAGATGCATGGATGAATGGGTGGATTGATGGATGGATAAATGGATAGGTAGATAGGTGGGTGAGCAGGTGGGTGGGTGACTGGCTGGCTGGTTGGATGGATGGATAGATGGGTGGATGGATAAATGGATGGATGGATGGAGGGATGGATGCATGGATAGATGAGTGGATAAATGGGTACCTGGGTGGATGGCTGGGTGGATGATGCATGGATGAATGGATGTGTGGATAGACAGATGGATGGATGGATGGATACATGGGTGGATGGATAAATGGATGGATGAATGGGGGATGGCTGGCTGGCTGGCTGGCTGGATGGATGGATAGATGAATGAGCAGGCAGATGGATGATGGTGTAGAGAAATCACCTGGCAGCTGCATTTCCCACTTGAGCTTCTCTTGCCGGCGCCATTTGGCTCTTCTGTTGGAAAACCAGACCTGAGCGAGGACAGGGACAATGCAGCTGGATGTACTTTACGCTGCCTGTCACCTGCTGATCTCACCACATATTCCTAGCCCGAACTCAGAATGTTGGCCCTTCCTTGGGCCTGACACCCTCCCTCCATGCTCTAGCTTTTGCTCTCTGGCCCCTTCCTCAACTCAAAGGTTTGGGTTGGGGAAGAGAGGAGGGCAATCAGCAGAAGGTGAACAAGGAGGGTCTCGTCTCTGATTGTTGCTCCAAACAAGTTTGTTTCCACCTTCTCACCTCCCCTCTCCACCTCATTGGAACCCAAAGCCCTGGCCAGCACAGACTCTTCTTCCTTGTGGCTTGTGCACAGTGTTGCAGAGCTCACTCACCCTCACAGTGTCCTCAGGCAGAGAGGTGGCAGCAGCCAGCTTTCCACGGGCCACTGAATCAGGATACTGCCCACGCTGGAACTCTGTGGAGATTGAGGGTCACAAAGTAAGGGCACCGGGAGAGGAGCAAGACATGGGTCTCCCCTCAGGCAACACTCCCCACCTGCTACAATCCCAAACTACCTTCCTCCTCAAGGCAGGGTCACTCACAGCCTGCACCTCTCAGCCTTTGCCCACAGACCTCAGGGCCACTGTCCCTGTGTCACACCGAGGACTCTCTGACCCTCCATCTGCCCCAGCCCAGCACCTTTCTCCAGTGCCTCTGCTTGGCTTGGGGAGAAGATAGTCCGATTCCGGTGGCCGGTCCCTGGGTGGGGACCCCGGGGAGTCTCAGAGCCACTGTGGGGAGTGAGGAGAGCTGGAGCCAAAACAGCTGAAAAGGAAGACAACAGTCTGTGGTGGTTTGCGATGCTGATTCCTCTGGTCAGATGGGGTCCCTAAGTCCCTGGGGCTGCAGCTGGGTGTCTCACCATGGGTAGAAGAGCAGAGCCAAGTTGGCGGGGCATTCACAGTTACTTAGAGGTCACTGCAGGGTCACTTGGTGGAAAGGGTTCTCAATACCATGGTGGGGTGTATGCTTAATGTGCGGGGCTTTGGAGGGACCAGTAGCAGGCTTGGGCCAGGTGTGTGTGGTCCCAAAGAACATGAATGATGCTTTAAGAAGCTATGCACAGAGCAGAGGGAGGGTATGAGACTCAGTCCTGCCTCTTCTTCAATAGATCCTGTGAATCCAGGGGCTGGGGGACCTGGGTTCTGTTCCAGGGCCTGCCATCAACTAGCTGGTGACCTTGGGTAAGTCACTTCACTTTTCTGGATGTCAATTTTCTTCTGCTGGGAGAGAATAAGACTCACTGCCTGGTCCTCCTTATTGGGTTGTTGTGAAGATGATCCAAGAAAGAACGAGTAAAGGCTTTGAGAACCATAAAATGTTGGAGATTCGGCTCTGATTAGCCCTGGGGACAACTCCAAGACTCACCTGGTGACCTGAGCTGTGTCCACGGTAGTCCCTGGTCCTCCTGTAGCGCCCGCAGGACTCGGTTGATGGAGGAGACCTAGGATTGTCGGGGTGTTGAGTGGAGAGATGGTGCTCAGACCCAGGGCTATACCCTGAGGACATTCCCCTTAATATCCTTTTTCCTGTCTGTCTCCACCCACACATTGTTCCTAAGGGCAGCCTCATCTCCCTCTCTATGCTTTCTCCTTCCCGATTATCTTATTACCACCACTTTTCAAAAGAAAAACGTATGGGTCAGAAGAGCCCAGGAGCCCTGTCACCAGCCTGGGATGCCCTCATTGCCAAATAAGAAAGGCTATTTGTCTCCCCAGAAAGCCTGTTTTCCAGCCCCATTGTTGGAAGGGAAGGGTACTTACGCTGGGAGTCTTGTCCTGGGTGCAAAGCCCTTCAGCACAAAGCTGGCGTTGGATTTCCCAGGCAAAAAGAGCTGGACACTCACCCTTCAGCTGGGCAATTCGAGCCACCACAGGGGGTGTAGCCAGCCGTGGCTTGCTTCCCCCAATGCCCTTGGGCTCCAAGACACCCGTGCGGTAATAACGCCCTAGGATCTTGCTCACACAGCCGTTAGATACCTGAGTCAGGTGAGAAGCAGGGACAGGTGAGGCACAATGGGCAGAAGGAGGGAGAGTGTCCCTGGGACAGGAGGAGGCTACAAGACAAAGCCAAGACTTACTGGACCAGGCCATGGAGTTGGGAGTCCAGCCTCACCTTTGAGGGTCTGAAGTTCCCCTTTTCAACCTCCAAGAGGGTCTGCCAGGAAGTGACCCAAGTCCCAAAAGCCCTCAGAGCCTGCAACAGCCCCAGGCTCTTGCCTTCAGAGGAGCCCTTTCTCCCTGCTTCCTGTCCCCATCACTGGGTAAAGATGCTGGCCCATTACCTTAAGGCTCCGTGAGATGTCACAGGGCCGCATTCCACGGACTGCTAGCCGCACAATCTGCTGCCGGGTATCCAGAGGCAGGGGCCGGCCATTCACAAAGAGCCCCCCAAGCTGGTTCATGCTGCTGATCCCTGGGCGTGAGAGAGAGGTATCCACACACCACCTCCCACTGCCCTGCCCACATGCGGAGAGGGTCACTCAGGCCCCTCCAGCCTGGCTTCCCAACGCTGAGTGCATCCTCTCCTGGGAGACTGCATCCTTGCTGCCCCCAGGCTGTCAACGCAAGCCACTTTCTTTGAGAGCTGGCTCATGGGTGAGTCTTTGTTCCTTGCCCATAACCTCTGACTCTCCTGATCTAAGGGAAGCAGGACAGGGCAGGAAGTGAGGGGCTGGAAAAAACTTCTCCAGAACATTGGCCAATGGCAGATGAAACAGTTGATGGAAGCAAAGCCCTGAGGTCTTCCCCTGTCTCTGTCGTCCTCCGTGTCTTCCCACTTCCCCCAGGCTCCTCACCGTCCTGCTGCATGCTCCAGGCTGACCCTCCTCGGAAGGATGAGACTCCAGCAAAGTAGCCTTGGAAGGGAAGTTCCTTCTAGGAGCTCCTTTTTCAGCTTGGGGGCTCTCTGCAATAACGGGGGGTTATTTGGGTGAGGTCTTTTGCTTGAAATGGTCCTGGGAGGTAGTGTTTTGTGATAGAGGGTCAGGTTTCTAAAATTTGCCAGTGAGTTGGCTAAAATTAGAAAATTCTAATTCCTTTAATTTAAACCTTTGTGTGATAAAAACTAAAACACTGCAGGTTGGCTGAGGACTGGATCTTTCTTGAAGTCCTGATAAGGGGCTGGGAGGATTGAGAGGGTTCTCATTTCCCACACATTCATTACAAAAGGTTGGGGAGGTAGAAAGGGATGATGCTTTCAAAGGCTCAAGCTTTCCCCTTTCCAAATGGACAGCTGTTGTCTCCAACTGCTGCTAAGTTTCTCAGCCCTGGATGACACACCTGAGCCAGAGATTCTGGGGTCCTCAAGTTCAGGGGTCCACCTTCACTATTAGGCAGTCCTCATTTGGGCTCTCCAAAATGCCCAGCCAAATGCTGCACTTCAGAAAGACTTGCTCCTGTTTTTTTATACTCTCCAGGAAGCTCTGAAGAAACTGGGACTCAGCTCTACCCCCCAGGCATTGAGGCTCTCGTCCTACACACTGGGCATAGAGATGAACATGCCTGAAGAGCCGGCTTCTCCTAGGACGCACATCTCTTAGCATCTCTAACCTGCTGAGATTGTTCATTCCTGTTAACTCGGAAGAGTTCTAGATCTCAAAGTGAAGCTTCAATTTCAGAGACCACCTTTATGGTATCAGACACTCATTCATTCAACTAACATTTACCAAAGACATATTGAAGGGAATGGGAAGCAGGAGAGGACTGTCTGCTGATGAATACAGAAACCGTCATGAGCCCAAGAGAGTCTCTGAGCAGCAAGGGACACAGGTCCCACAGGCCACCATACCTCTTCTACTTTCATCAGTAATTAATGGGAGTTGAAGATGCCTCCTTTCATGCCTGGAACCCTGGTAGTGCTGGAGGTCACCCCAAGGAACAACTTATGCATAGAATTTTCTTGTAATAAGTGTGCCATCTGGGCTCAGTTAATTCATCTGCAGTTATATGCTGAATAAGATATTAAGCATGAGCACATTGCTGGTTGTTCAGGATGAAGGCAGTAAACAGAAAAGGGTAAAGTCTTTGCTCTCCAACAGATTACAGAGCAACTGGAGAAAGGAGACTAGCTCTGGTGAAACAAAGAATTACAAGGAGTTTGGAATCCAGAGTCTACTTATTAAGTTCAGTAGCTAAATTGGCTTTTACTCACTTGTTTCTAGGTAGGTGGAGGCACAGACCCCTTCAAATTCTCATCTTTCCAAAAGGTTGGGAAGTAAGGCAGAGGTTTTCCAAAGAGAAAACTGAGGCACAGATTGGCATTCCCACAAGTCAGGGGCTGTCCAGAGAATAAAACTCAAGGTTCAGAAGTCAGTTCCTCACCAGAGGCTACAATTTCTGGCTCCTAATCCTGGGCTCTCTTTCTCTGCTCCTGCTCCTGCTTCATGTCTGTGCAATTGCCGCAAAAACAATGGAGAGAGGAGAGTCAAGCAGGGACTGTAAAGGGCTGTGGCAAGACAGGTGAAGGAGCTCAAAATATCAGCCAAACCCTAAATCCTTGATAGGATTCAGTTCTCCTACATGACCAGAATTCAAAGGAGCAGTAGGGATGCAGGTTCAGTATCCAAACCTAAATAATCTCCAAACCTAAATCATTATGTCCCAACTCACAAACAGAAACCCCATTCCCAATAGCCACACCACACATTCCCAACATTCATACTAATATGCCTGAAAAAATAACTGGTGCTTGCAAGATGGAAAAACAGGAAAGCGGGTGGAAGGGGCAGGAGGGTGGTAGCCACAAAGACAGAGTGGGAGAGAAGTTGGGTTTGGCCACACAGAGGCATGGAGACAGCATAAGGGGCAGGGCAGACAATGAGCCTGCAGGTGAACTACCTTTGTGGAGGAAATGAGGTGGGAGCTTCAGTGGGAGTCTCAACTTCTGAGACCCCTGCAGGCTTCAGGGGTGGTGATGGTCTGGTCTTGGTCACAGCCTCCACTCTGCTCCTGCTTCAGTCCTGCCAGGGGGTCCAGAGCTACAGAGAGCCCGTGCTCAAGAGCAGAGGGCAGCCTTCTGGGAGTAGCCAATGATGTCACAGGCCATGAGCAGAGGAGAGAGGAGGAGGGAGGTGTGCATGGGCTGACTGACACCAGCCCTGAGGCAGGGCAAACCACAGCCAATGACCCACTGTGTCCTTCCATGGGGAATCCTCAGAGCCCACTTTGTGTCCACCTACCACCCTGAAGCAGGGACAGAGCCATTCTCATGCAGGCAAAAGTGCACCCACACAAGCACCAGTACTCCTGAAGGGTATGCTGGGCATGGAAGATGGGGAACTTCAGGTTGTGTCCTTAAGGCTTTGAATGTACAGAAACAAAAGATGCCTTCCCAAAACACCAACACACCTTCCCAGCCAGAATGCACGTGCCTGCACTTTGGGGTCAACTCCTGAGTTATGTGTGTTGCTATAAAAGATAAATGAGTATACAGACTATTGCCTAAATACTGACTGAGTTGGCTCCTAGCACTCTGAGATAATGAGAGTGAATGGAGAAGAGTGTGAAGAGTGTGTGTCGCTTAGCACCAGCTGTCCCCAGAGAGTATCCTCACCAATTCTCCAATTGACTCCTTGACTGAGGTGACACCAAGGGTGAATTCTTGCCTGGAAATGGAGGATCCTGGACTTAAGAACACTGACAATGGTAGTGGTGGTGGAAGTGAGCCTCGGGATAGTCAGAGATGCATATGGGTGTTTATAAGAAGACTTGCAGCAGGGTTTTCCTTCTTCCCTCTTTAGATGTTATCAGACTCCATTTTGTTAGGGATTTGGTGCTTTTACACTCTAAGTTAGTAATGGCACTGTTGTTTCCACAAAAGACACCACAGGTTATCTGGGTCATTGGCGAGGCAAGAGGCATCGGTAGCTGGGCAGGTGGTGCCTGTGGAGTGGGATGCTGGAAGTGAAACACAGCCTCTAGTGCATGGAAGTTTTGTTGCCAGTCATCAGGGTCTTGGGCAGATGGTCTTTGGGTCCATTCCACACCTCAGAGTCTTTGAAGCCATTGCAAAAGTCAGACTGGAAGTAAGCAGGGTGTAGGGCAATAGGACTAGACCCAGAAATCAAAGAATGGAAGACTTATTTCATGGGTAAATGTTTTGAAGTTCTAGGGATGAAAGTGGTTGTTGTGCATTCAGCTTGATCCTAAGGTTGGGAACTCTTGCTCTCAAAGGCCAAATACCACATAAGTGAGTTTTCCACTTCACCCTGACACATACTCTCTTCCTCTTCCACCCTCCTCCGGCATCCTCAGGCTGGTCTTGGGGTACAGGGGAGACTGCAGAGGGTGATTTCAGGACCTCGGGCAGGACAGCATTTGCCCAAGTGTCCTTACAGCCCATTCCATTCCCGGGCAGCTGGGGACTGCTGGTCACTCTACTTAGCCATGCCTGGGTGGGAAGAGGTCCCCAGGAAGACCTGTGGTAGCCCTGCTCTTAGTCCCCAATTCCTGCCTCATCCCTCCCCCCTAGATCTGCCCCTGCATCTAAGGGCTCCGGGCTCATGTCCTGACCGGCTATTCCTATAGACAGCTGCATGAGGGTGGAGATAGGGGTATCAGGGGGAGCAGGGACAAGCCCTGGCAGATGGTGGTGGCAGCGATTTACCCCATAAACTACCCTCTCCCTCCGCCTTTATGACGCGCTCTTGGGTCTGAACAAACAGAGGCTTTCGACCCAGAGGTGATGGGGGAGGGAAAAGTGGTAAAGGGCCCTGGCAGGGGGGCCTAGCGAGCCCAAAGGCTCTGCCACTCAGCCCTCTGCCCAGCGCGCTAGACTGTTTGAGGAGCAAATATCTGCCTTGACTGTCTGACTCTCTCAACTACCCCCACCGGGTTTGGGGCTAATTGTCCCTCATTAGCTGGGCCCAGGCCCCGGGCTGCCGCCAGCCCCCGCCATCTGCTCACAATTATACATTAACTCAAAGGTCTTGCCACCCGCCAACAGGCTGTGCGCCCCTCTCCGGGGCCAGCCATGGCCATTCCAGCCTTTCCCTCGCCCTGATGTAGAGCCCTGATCGCTGGCTTCTTCTGCCCTTAGGAGTCCCTGGTAGAAAGTTCCGTGTCTGTAGGGAAAGTCCTGTCCTCAGGAGAGGCGGCTGGAGTTCCCCTGCCTTCCTCAAGGGACCAGAGGGCGAGACAAGCCCGTGCGTAAAGCTGGAGAGGACTGGGCGCGGCCAGCGCAGAGACCCGCTGTCGTTGGTCTGACACCTCGTCTTGGGCTCTAGGCACCTGTTGTGGGAGGTAACACCAGCTCTAGGCTGTTTCCACCCCTCCCTATGGTGCATTTTCGTAGGCTGTGGGATCCTGGGCCCCTTCTCTGTATCCGGAAAGCGCCGTCTCCTGCCAGCCCTCAGCTTTCCAGAGCGCACGCGCCACCTGTCCAAAACAGCTCTCTGGCGGCCTGTGCCTCCCACCTTAAAGTCAAAGTGATTTCCTTGCTACAAAAACACGGGGGATCTTCGAGTTCCCTGAAAATTCTAAACTTCAGACCCTCACGCTAAAGTCGCGCCACCCCCGTAAAGCTTTACGCAGTTACCCTACTCTCCCAGCCCAGCCCCTGCTCTGACACCAAAACTCCCTCCCCGCAAATCCCTGCAGTCTCCTGCTCAGCTTCTAGGAGGCTAGCACCCGGATCCCTCCCTCGGAACGCCCCAAGGAGGGAGGAAGGCGCACACCCTCCCAACCGTGACTTTGAACTGGGGGCACAGAAGAGCCCTCCCTTTCCCCCTCTTTTTCACCATGAGCCTCTAAACTCTGAGCTCAATCTTGCCTCATATTTCTCTCAGGACTAGGGTAGATGAGGCGGGATGTTGAATCTGCACTTCCCCAGACTAACTCCCAACAGAGCTAGGTTGTTCAG